ATTGAGCGCGATCGAGCCTAGTCGGGGTCGAGTCGATGCGAAAATATTCGTCAACATGCGGTACCCACGACAAAACGGGCAGGCTTGGTGCACGCTTTTCTTAGCATAGCCGGGACAACTTTAAAGTACCTGTAGGCGGCTCTGTACCTGCGGGGAAACAATTGTGGTTTTCTTGTAACCGATGCCCGAAGACCCATGCACGCTTTTCTTTGGCGTGGTGGGGGAACAAAGATTTTATGGTCGCGGTGTTCTCATCCGAGGACACCTACCGTGCACGCTTTTCTCTAGCGTGGCTGGAGGCCCAGTTTTTCGTAGTTTTCCCCTAAAAGAGGGAGATGCCGGGAGGCTGCCGAAATTTCGGGTGAAAATGTGACCGCACTCGAACCTGTTTGAACTCAAAGAACAAGGATTTGGACTTAAATGAACTGTGTACTTGTGAGCTCGGACTTGAACTGAATGGCTTAAATGAACTCAAACTTGAACCCAAATAAAATTAAAAATTTGAGTATAAACTTGAATTCGAACTTGCAAGATGAACAAGGACATGAACTGAACACTTGAACTCAAACGAATACTTGAGTTGGACAATAATGGACCTCAATTTCAAATGAACTAAATGCAAGAGAGCTCAAACTTAAATAAATTGAACTCAAATTGGACTTGATTTGCGCATCAAACATGATTCAAACATTTGAACTCAGGCAAGAACTTGAGTTGGACTTCAGAAGAATTTGAACACCGGGACTTGATTTGGATCAAGCATAGTGGATATGAAACCGGATTTGACCATAATTAGATAATCAAATTTGATGAATGCATAATTACCTGAATATCAATCATTAAGTTTGATTATGCAAGTGGAGGTCAATGAATGAATGAAGGTCATTCATTAAAATCCCAAATAGAAGTGAAATGTTGGTTCACTCACAAGCAACAATACGAACTCTTAATGCTATCACAAATTCCATTGTATTCAATCCCGCAGTCAACAGCCCTTCAATGGCAGCCAGAAACATCACCCTCTTGCGAATGTAGATGTATAATACACAGCAAATGCAAGTGCCCACAATCTACCGTGGAAGATCCTCAAACATAAGTGATATGCAAGGAGACTCATTGGTTCCTCACATGTATTGAAATCAGTAAAAAGGAACGAATATTATGACTTATCAATAGTCATAGCAATGATACACAACAAATGATGCTCCTTACAAGTTTGCCCGTGGATTGAGAGGGCAATACTGGCGCTTAATAGTGGAGGACCCGCTCCTACAAGCAAGTGCAATCATCAAACCACCTGAGACTGGTGAAGGTGGATGTGATGCAAGGACAATGATTCTCCTACGAATATTTCCAAGAGGTCGTAGTAGATACAACAGTCCCCACAAAGTCGATGCACTACACTTATAAAAAGCAACAGACAGTTGTAAGTTGTACGAGTACTACCCATATGTGGCAATCAAAGATCCGTCCCCACAAGCAAGTGCAAATACAACAACCCACCTGAGATTGGTGAAAGGTGGATATGATACAGGAACAATGGGTCTTCTACAAACATTTCCAGGAGGTCGTAGCGGATACAACGGGTCCCTGCAAATGCACACAAGCTGCTTGTGGATAACAACAATAGGTATATCGTAAGTACAACGAACCCTTGTGGACACAATTACAGATGTCACCTACGACAATGGTGATTAAAATCTACGAGCACGTCGGGTATAAGGGCAACTCGGTGTATGGAGAAGGACACCCCTTGGCAGAAGGGAAGATATGCTTGAACAAATTAGAACTGAACTTCTTGGTGTTCCAAAGTTTCTTTTTAGTTCTATCCTTGGGAAGAAAACAACTCTGGCATTCACAAACACCGGAAATGACAAGTCTACTACACTAAAGATCTTGATAGGAGATCTTTTCAAGGCAAAGAAGCGAACGTCAAAATCTAGAAAGATTTCCCCGGTGAATAAGAAAAAGGGGAGTCAACATCCGGACGATGAGGTGCCTCATGACATCCAGATAATACCACCACCAGATCCGCAACATCTACGCAAGCGGACAGAAGACGTCTATAAATATTCCAAGAATACCCCCGTACGTGCACCATAGTTTGTATACACATACGTATACAAAGGTGTAAATATGATCACAAGACCTGCATGGGCCCAGGCGAGCGTGTTATTGGTACACACATAACGTCTAGGGATGATGCGCGGGTCAATAAGTGAATTCAAGTTCGAACGTGATCCTTCTATACAGATCAATAGAAGTTGACAGAGTTCGAACTATCAAATAAATATGCGGTTGTGGGAACCGGTGAATTTATTTTAATACATTCATATTAGGCCTTCAAGGCCTATAATCAAGAGAATTCACTAAACAAAGGCATCAAGCCTACGAAACCCGATCCTCTTAAGCACGTAATAGGAGTAGATAGGGTTCAAACCATCAGATAAATATGCAGTCATAAGGTTGACCGGAATATTTATTTTGCACATTCATATTAGACCTTCAAGGCCTTTAACAAAGAAAGTTCACAAACAAAGGGCACAAAGCCTACAAAACCTGATCCCCTATCGACAAGTTGATAAGGTCGACAAGGTTCAATCTTTTAATGGAAATAACCCCTTACACCCTGATGATGGCCATGTTGAATGCAAATCTCACCCGGAGGGGTTCACAAATCATTCCAAATGCCTTCCAAGATCCACTCAAAAAACCTCAAATCCTAAATTCAAAATATTTAAAATTGAAATCAAACCATCAATCACATAAAGCAAAATCCATCCACTCTCTACAACAGTTTGATGAGGTGAACAAATCTAAAAATTATTTCAGCTCATAAAGAGCTAATACCTAGTCGAAAATATCACTAGAATCCATTCTCAAACAATCTCCTACAAATAAGGATGTGGTACACGTCCTCTAACCGGCAGTTTTGCCGCCAAATGGCATCGCAGGATAAACGGTTATAAACCGAGGTCCTCTGAACCGAGTCGTTTTGCCGTCAAATGGCACCACAAAATACCGGTTATGGCCAGAGCTAATACGCTCCTTATTGGCATCAAATCCTTGAGATATGAATCAATAGGATATGATCGATAGGGCACAAGCCCTCTATTAGCTAAGGTGGATTCAAATTTGTCCCCTTAGGCAAATATCCACCCTAGGTCGACAAGGTCCCCTTGGACGAAGCAACCCATGGCTGCCGACAAGGATCCTTCTCTGAGGTTGGGTCGACTACCTCCTCTGACTAAGTAGGCCAAGGACCACGATGGCCCGGGACGACGGAACAATGTGATCTTAATCGGGTCCAAGTGCAAGATGGTGAAATTTTTATTTTAAATATCAAATCTTCAAACCACAAATTCTCAAATCCAAACCCAATTTCCAAATATCCATGCTGCTACTATATGCCAGATAATACGTATATTCTAAGTATCTGACTGACGACTAGCCTTAATCAAAAGTTCTCTCTCGTGATCGGGATGGGTAATTAACTATAGGGGCTTGCGCATATAGAAAACTAGAACTTAGATCATAAAGTCCTCACAAAATGAGGGCGAAATCTCTGGGTAGTGTCTTATCTACAAACCCATATGCCTTCCAAAACTTACCCTGAAACTTATTCCGTTAAAACTCCCTCGTCGAAGAAAAGCACAAAAACATCGCGGGAGGAGGCTGCGGCCGAATTTTCGGAGCCCACAAGCAACACTTAAGATCACATACACAATATATAAATTTGCACTGTTATCATACAACTAACTTTCACTGATTTCAAACAAACTTTCCATGAAGATAAATGTAACATTACCTAAATCCTCCTTGAGAACTCTCGTTGTCTTTCGTAGTCTATGTCAGCTAAACTATATAAATCCTTCACTATTCCAAATAATATTAATAACATTTTAATAAATATTAAAATTTAACTTGTATTATTCAAACATAATCAAAATAACATCAAGTATTTCTTATATTGCAAAGGACAACATAAACTACTTCAAATATTGCCAAGGAACTTTTAACTGATTGAACATTATTAAAATAACATCGCATGTCTCTAAATCATCACCCCACAATAGCTATTCCACTATCTACTTTCTCGAACATAATACGAAATTAAATATTCCTTAAAATAATATTAATTACAACAATTAATCCAATTAATCTTCCTTTTTTTCAAGTCATAGCACTTACCAACTACACTTATACCTATAGATAAATTTTGCAATAGCAGTAAATTACAAAAAAATAAAATTTTCATCATTCAACCTTGAACATAGAAATTCACTTGCTCTTTTTATTTCGACCAAATAGAAACTCACAGCTCCTCTCCCTTCTTTATCTCTCTCGAGCACATGAACCATTATTTTCCTACTTTCTCCTTCACCAAAAGAATAAATAATAAAACAATGAATCACTTACAAATTTTTGGCAAAAGAGAACTCCTCTTGCATAATATTATTCTTCCTCACCCGAATTTCCTTCCCTTCCTCTCAGTTACTTCGCCTGTTCTATTACATGAAGATGGACTGGTTCAATCGAACCGGTCCAGCCAGTTCTTACAGCTACATTACCCTTTCATGCATTATATGTTGTTATCACACTATGTTGAGCATTTGCATGATTTATAAACTAAATTTCAAAATAATTTTATTATACACAATGAAAGAGATAGCTATCATGCAAGTTTCAATCAAGAATCAGGAAACATTTTAAAGAGGATTAAAAACTATTTCAAAGCATAGTTTGGATTGGTGGACTATAGGAATTTCTGTAATAGCTTGAGCATGACAATATACTTGAGATAAATACAAACTATGTAAATATTTGTGAAATGCAGAAAAGAAGATTGAGAATTCTGAAGAAATAACTACCAATTAAATTAAACAGCATATAATAGTTCAACAAATAACAGTATTATCATAATTAACTAAACATCAATAAAATATATAACAAAAAAAATTAAACGAAACATAATTTAAGAAGGTAAGTTAAAAACTAACTTCAATATGCAGAGAAAGCTTGTCGAGTTGTTCGCTGTATTGAGGTAATGTTTGAACCAGTTTTTGCAAATCTCTAGTTGATAATTCACCACCATCTCTGAATAAAACAAGAAACAAGCAGTAACAAATATAAATCTCATAATTAAAGAGAAATAGTTCCAATTTCCATGGCATGCAAAAATGATATTCATAAATTTCTCAAGTTAATTACACATGACACGAGTTAAACTAAATCCACCGCATAGAGCAGTATCAAAAGTCATCGTGCAAATCCTTTCATCCAAATGTTAAAAGTTTCAATTTTATTAGAAAACCGAAGAATAAAAGCTGCTCCAATCTAAAAATATGCTAATATTTAAGCACCAGAATGATTGAAACCATACTTTTTAGATCGCATTCACAAAATAATAAGGAGATTATTCTAGCATATTAGCTTAATCATCCGTCTAGTATTTTGTTTAAAGTAAGACCATTAAGTGTTTCATAGGATATTACAGTAACAAGAATCTTTTTTTTTTCTTTAAAATAGGGCGCCTTAGGCCAACAAATAATACACTCCACAGTTTTTCAAGCAAGCAAAAGAATTGCCTACTTCTTGTATTAATAGTTAGAGATAGATCCACTCAAAAAAATGTCAACATCTCAAAAATTGTTATTTATCATGATATGATCTTCTAGGTGTGGATCGGCCCATCGTCATGTGGATGTTGGTAGTAGGTAGAATTTAAAAGCATCCCCCCTACTACTCTTTCAACAAAATCTTTGAGCACAATAACACTAACTATTTTAAGGCTCATCTGGATGCAAGGAAAATCAAATTTTAAGGTGAAGAGGCAGATTTAAATATTCAAATCCTTCCTTAACCATAATGGTTGTTGCTCCTCCATATCAGTTCAAGTTTGCAGTCAAAATTTCAAATGATCAAACTTACCTTTGAATTCTCAGTCTGTTGTGCCTGCCCCTGCTAGCCTCATAGAAATAATCTCTACATCATTTATAAGCAATATCATAGATATTGATCCTTCTATTTCTAAAGTTCCTCATCTCCCTTATATTTCTGAAGACATCAATAATCATGGTCCACACCAACCTTATGATTTTGAAGGAAGCATTCCAAAAGACGTTGCTTTGGTGTATAGGACGCATAATATCATGTATCAGACATGCCACAGTAAAACAAATAAATAAAAAATCCATCTTCACTCACTTTTTTTACATAGAGCTTTAAGCAAGGCAGCCCAAATTATTGGTTTTTGTATTCTAATGGATCTTTGGATATTATCTTTATGTTGTCTTATCATTTTTTCTTTTTCCTCTAGTAATTCTTGGTTATTTCCCCTATTATACTCGTACCATTTTCTAGTTATAAATTGCGCCTTAAAAATATGATCTTCCATGTTAATGTAAATTGGTATCAATGTTATTGATCTTCCATTTGATTTGTTGACACCCCACCCTATCTTTTTTCAACAATTCTGACTAAATGAGAAATATAACAGCCAAAGCCAAAAACAAATATCAACATCTTTCAATATAATTTTGCTCTAAGTTAGTCCCGAGTCATAATCTTGTGTGAATTAAGAGGGTAATACAAAAATAATAATAATAATAAAATTTCAAGAGATAAAGAGAACCTTCTGGCATTAGATTACATCAAAATCCAAATTTAGACAATGATTTGTAGGCCATTCGAAGAGGAGGAAGATTTTAAATTATTTAATTTTCATATTTGAATATTTATTAGGATATTTAGGATAGTGTCCTAAATTACTACAACTAGATTAGGATTTGATTTCAGTTTGTTTAGATTTAACTTACCTCCAATATTCCTAAAAAAAACTGAAGTCTTTAAGATGTTAATTTAAGATTGAAGCAATGTTTAAAATTGCGTATCATGTATTGAGGCGTTTTTCATTCGTGAGGCGAGGCGTAAGCCTCAAAATCAAAAGATTGCGTAAACATAAAATGATAAATTTTTTATATACTAATGAGTGAATAATATAAAACATAAAAAAACATAAGATATGAAGTGAAATCAAAATTTCTCAATAATAAGACAACATGAAATGTAGTTCAACTCAAAATTCTATCTTTCTCAAATCCTAGTAATCTTTTCATTAACATATAATACTAATTTCCAAAAATAAATAGCAATGACATATCACATAAGAACTCATAAGTCATCAGCACTGTCATCACTAAGGGGTTGTCCATTTGAATCATCATTATAATGAACGGCTCTCTCCCCTTCCTCCTCTCCTATGGAGTCCAATGTCGAGCATTTACTTCAAGATTTATGTAAGTTTTAATATATATAGCGTGAGGCGTAAGCCTCATGCCAGTGAGGTGAGGCGGGCCTCAACCAAGTTGAGGCGCAAGCCTCATAAAAAAGACTTGAGGCGTAAGCATCGAGGCGTTTTTTATTAGAATTACGCAAAGGCGGGCCTCAGGGCGAGCCTCATATTGCGCAATTTTAAATCATAGATTGAAGAAATAGAATTATTGCTAACCATATTTTCTCTCCCAGCCAAACTATTGTCTCTCCTATCAGTTTTCAAAAGGTTATCCAATAGGTATACTTTAGTGACAGCACTCAACTACAAACACCTTAGTGACAGCACCAACCCGAAAGGCATTAAAGGTTTTAGAAACTTGCCTTACGATCCTGATTCCTAGGAGAGCTCTATACCGATATCTAGGAGAGTTCTGGACTCACCTTTGATAACATTGGATGGTCAAACATGTTTGATGGGTTAGCAGTTTTTCATGAAATTGCTTTCTAAGAGGAGAAAAAGAGGAATTCTTTAGCCATTGATCCATTCAGTTTTTCATTTGAAGTCAATCTATGATCAAACACAATATGCTAACCTCATCAGATGTTAAGCACCATGCATACGAGTTCATATTAAAAAAATCTTGCAAAAGGATACTGCCGGAAGAAAAATACAAATGAATTATGTTAACAAAGAACATCATCATATGGGATGATCACATCAAATGAATGAATGATAAATGTGTTTCAGATGTAAATAATGCCAACATGATTAGAAAATCGTTGACTTTATATATGATTTATCATTTTTCTATGATTGATTGCATTTCAAGGAGCAAATGACAAAAAAGAAAAAAAAAAAAAAGAAAAGAAACATTGATCCAAGAGATCTCCACCCTCAAATCCAAACCAATTAGGGTTTGAAACTTTCAAGAGTTATTGATCTTCTATAACTTCTAAGAGCTTTTAGAGGACTAAAAAACTGTTACACCGGTCCACTGGACCGGTCCAGCCGGTCCAGGCGGGACCGGTTCGGGGGCGAAATCGCGAAACAGGCGGAGACTCCGCCAGAACGAGCAGCCCGACCGCTCATATAGAGCGTTTTAGGAAGGATTTTTGGGGGGTTTCAAAGAGAAATTTGAATGTAGGGACTGTTTTGGAAATTCCTTTTGATTTGTATGCATTAAATAGATGTTTTTCCTAGGGTTTGGGCATCTTGAATTTGGCTGAAATTTGAAATCTCTTAGATTTAGGTTTTCTTTGGGCTCTAACGGCGTCTAGAGATTTGGGAGAGATCGATCCTCCTCTCGAATTGAGGATCAATTGTATCTTTGTTGTTTTCTTCTTCCACTAGTAAAATACAAGTTTTTCCTACGAATTTCTCTAAGTTTTCTACAGTTTTTCCGCTGTTTTTACTGTTTTCCTGCTCCGGACAGCAGTATTTTGTGGAGATTTGCTGTAAAGTTGAATAGGAAATACTTGATTTCAAGTGTTTCCAATCAAATTGGTATCAGAGCATCGATTTGGGACCATCGGCGGCTGAAAACCTAAAATTTCAGCAGAGTTTTGGCATTCGGAGGAAGATTTCTTGTGATTCGTAGAAAGAAAAATGGCTGGAAAGAAGATCGAAGTCCTAGAAGGCGAATTTGGCCAATTAAAAGCAGATTTGGAGGAAAAATTCCTTGAAATCACCGCCAACAATGAAAGGTTGGAAGGGAGGTTCGCGGCGATGGAAGAGATGATGAAGAAATTACTTGAGATGAAGACGAATCCGACGGCGTCGGAAGCAAGAGAGACTGTCGGCGACCAGGGCGTAGGAGGAAATCCAAACCCGCTTCGGGGGAGGAGGAATCCGGCAGTAGAGATCCTTGAGGGAGAGGACGACATGCCACCTCTAGAGCCACTTTCTAGAGAGGAGATGAGCATGGGAAATGATCGTCGAGGTGCTGATTTTCAGCGTCGAGGTGCTGATTTTCAGCATCGAGGTCTTTTTATATTTCATCTCGATCTTCTATTTAATCTTATCTTCATAGTTTCCATTCCACCTGTATCTTTCTTTTCCAAATATTGTGAGTGTAAAGAGTTGTTGTTTCCCGTTTATTGGTATTTTCCATAAGATAGCCGGCTTGAGCTGGATCATAATTTCTATGGCGAACCACTGATTTGATTTTTCCTTTGAGCACCACCTTTTTATTTTCGTGATTTGCATTTGAGGTGACTTTACAAGGCTATTCTGAGAGTATTTTAATTTAGTTGTTTAGTTATTTTGTGTGCCTTCTTATCAATTTTCTCAGTGTTGTTTCCTTCTAAATTTTCAATATTTGTGTATGTTTATGCAATATTGAATGGGAGTGTTGTCAATTACTTTTTTAGCATTCTCCTACTTGCATTCATACATGCATCTTTCTTCTCAAAACTTTGATAAGTTGTAAGTTATCATTATGTCGTGTTTTATTTTAAGTTTTAAGGTATTGTTGTGTCCTGCCTTATTGAAAGTTAAAAGTATTGTTGTGTCCTACCTTATTGAAAGTTAAAAGTATTGTTGTGTCATGTTTTATTGTAAGTTGTCATGACTTGTTATGTCTTGTTTAATAAGAGTTTGAAGTGGTTGTATTCTAAGGTTTTGTTTGTTTATGTTTTATGGAAAGGAAGCCTTTTGTTGAACTTAGTTATTTTTAAATTGCATTAATTTGGTATCAGAGATTTAGGTTATCGGACAAGTCTTCATTTCTCATAAAAAAATATGCATAGTCAAAATAATCAACAAGCGGCTTGACAATATATATTTATGCAACAAATGGTTAACCTACAACAACAAATGGAAG